TGTAAACAAACTAAGGTTGCGGGTCAAACTCGTGGGTTTCGAGATACCATTAAAAATATATAGTATCGAAACTTTTCAGATTTAAAACCGATTTTTATATTCGGATTCATTGAACCTCCGGATATATATAATAAATTAAGCTATTATCAAATAATTATCAAATAAGGAAAATACAATAAAAATCAAAATTAATTGTTCTATAATAATTCACGTTATGATAATAAAAAAATAATTTGTTAGCCTGAAATTCATCAATAATAATAAACTTTGTTATTTCCTTTGGTAAATGTATAAATTACTTCATTATAAGCACTGCTAACATATAACAATGCTGCGATAATAAGTTATTTGAACTCAAAAACTGAAATTAGACGACGTTTATTTTAATGCTAGCTTATCCAGATACAGTAGATCTGGATATAATAAATTAAAATAAATACAGTACCAATCTCTACTTAAGTCAATATATTTTGAAATTGAAAAAAATTACCAATATAATATATATGTAGTATTTCATCGATATTAAAACTTTCACTCGAAGAATTTCAGTGGTGATGAATTTATTATTACATATAATCACCTACGAAATGCATCAAAATGTATGAATTTTCATGCTTTATGCAAAATTATATGTAATAAACATTAATAAATATCATTATCGCGCACACAAGTATGATATAGACGAACTTGGTTTTGTGATATTACGAAATTAAAAATTGAGTTTTTATAATAATAATTATAAAATAATATATTTAAGCTACATTTGTGAAAGAAACTTTTGAAGAAACTCATTGAAGTTGAAATGGTAACGAGAATCAGATATTCTATTTTCAAAATAAAAGATTATTAAGATACTCAGGTGATTTTATCCGTTATATTATGATTTTTGAAATTATATGAGGTTGGTCACGCATTGCAAATAAAATGCTTGATATTTTATGATCACCTTAATAAATCCATGACAACTACAACTAAATCGTATAATGTTTATAATGCATTCTGCTTTAATCAATTGTTCAAAATATCACTTTCAAGGACATCCTTGGAATAATAACGTGTATCTCATAACCTGTTTAGAATACATTTTAACATATGGTATAGTTGTCAGTGTTTCAGAAACTTGACAAAATCATTTCCTATTCACTTTGACATTGGTTCAAAGTATTCTGAGAATTTAGTCCTTACCATTTTATTCAAACGATGGTAATTGGCTCAATCAATTCACCATTCAAAACTACAAAATATTTTCAATAAAAAAAAGATATTACAATTATCAAAGGACAAAATATTTTATATTTATTAGATTTTTTGTATTTTTTTTGATTTTGTAAATTTACGTTATTAAAGTTTTTATAATCTTAATCTATCAACATTTTAATTCTAAAATATCATAAATAAAATATATGTAAAGAGTATGAAGTAAAAACAATAATTTATTTATTAATGAAAAAAGTCAAGCTTTCTAAACGGTATGATAAATGCCCTTTTGAAAAATTTTCCGGGTAAAATCGGTATCTCATAATTTGACATTACATGTTTCTTCATCTTCGCTAAAGGAATATCGAATATTTGGAAACTTGCAGGTTGATACCAGCAAACGTATGCTAGAAAATTTTCAGCCGATCTAGACGGAAAATCGACCGTATGAGTAAAATGGTATTGAACTTGGCCTGGATAATTAATAGTTTACATATTTCGCATTATTTGTATCAATAATTGCGTCATATGGGAAGCAGGTTCCGAGAAATTTTAAAAAATTCCGATTAACCGGCTAATTTTAACGGTTAATTATTAACGGCGGATATAAATTTCTTTCAAAAAAAAAAGAAAACAACATTTTTTCCCGAAAGAAAAGGTTTAACGAAAAAAAATTTTAATAGAATGTTATTTGTTAAAAGAAATAATGAATATGTTTAATAAATAAATTTTATGATCCTTGATTACATTTTTAAGTTAACAATTAAGTTTAATTATTAAAAATAATTTTATAATTGCGGTTAACCGGTTAATTTTTTAATCGATTAACCGAATAGTAGCCGGTTAATAATTAGCCGGTTAACCGAACATGTTAAAATTTTTAATGACGGTTCCAATCACTACTTTGACTGGATTGCAACGGTCTTTGTCACCGTATACGTCGAAAATATGATTTCGTCTGCAAGCTTTTTTGCTTTTTAATTACCATACCACGAGTTGCACATTGTTTGCTTTTCATAGATTTTGAACCCATTCAAATAATAAATTTTCTAATTCAAGCAATGCTGCTGCCTTCCCAAGGTGCAATTTTTGAATATGTGAAGCTGAAGACAGCTCTTCTTTATGATTTTCCCAATATTTAATTTGTTTAGTCTGAATATCAAACATTCCTGCGGCCCTTTCTTTACTAAACTTTGAGAATATTGTAAAATCATTAGCTTTTCATGCACACACCCATTGTCTTCGAAGATTTTTTTTTTGTAATTTGTGCTTTTATTTTCTACAATTTGGCATTATAAAATAGAGAAAGAAATGATTATCCAAAAAAGAAGTTTATTTCCATTTTTTATGGTTAATTTATTTTCTCTGATAGTATATTGATAGAACCTCCAATCATAGTACCCTAATATATTGTACCCGAATGTATTGTATCCGGCTATTATACAGAACGTTTTACAAGGCAAGACGAGCGTTTGACACCATGTAGGTTCGTATACAAATTCCGTTCAATGGCTACATGATAAGGTTATGGTTGTGAAGCTTAATACTACCTGCTTTTTTTTAAATAAAAAAGTTTATATTTATTGTAGGGGGCAGCTTCGATAGTACGTCGAAAACCTAAGGGTTTTGCCCGCTCACAAGATTTGTTCGCTCTTCAAAAAGGGCGATCAATGTATTATTTTTTTTTTTAATTAAAGTTCCGGTTTAACAATAAATAATAAATATAAATTTGTGGCGTCGCAAGGTTCATTATGAACAAAAGCAATCATAAAATACAATGAAATCCTACTAATTGGGAAATTTGTATGCTATATAATGTTCTAACCAACCCTGGTCACAAGTAATTGACCGTCCGCAGTCGTAATTTTATTGTATCCAAATAAAGTAATGGTTATTCATTTATTCGCTGCGGAACATTATTTAAAATCTCTTTCATTTAAATATTGCTAAAATTGGCATTAATACAATAGTTATTGTTATCACAAAATGAAAAGTTCCATATCTATAAATATCTTCATTTGAACTTTACAATGATAAAAAATAAAAACATTTAATAATCAAAAAAAAACTTATTAATTCCTATTAGAAAATAAAAAAATATTCGTTTCTCATTTTAAATATATATATATATTTTATTATTTCTTTTAAATTTGATCTT